TCTGCAGTTCGGTAACAAACATTTCTTCAACATCACATTTCATGCGTTTGTAAATGTTTGTATTGAGTTATTAAAGATAATATTCTTCTGTTCATTGATGCAGTTGAGCCTCAGATATTTAGCCTAAGTTCGAATTTTCTTAAAAGACAGAATGCAAATCAAAATTAAATGCATCTGATCTCTCCGTATCACCCTGACCAGAGTCGCAGTCGGGCGCCTGGTATCCAGGCAGGCAGGAGCAGCCCTTCGGGTCGTGGATGCAGAAGGTGAGCCCCGCGCAAGACGGCGTGGATGACCAGCGCAGGTGCGGTGCAGAGCAGTCCCTCCTGCAACCTTCTCCATATTGGTCTCGGGGGCAGTCTGGAAATTGCAAAAGACTGGATTTATTTGATCTGTTGATTTGCATCTGATGATTTGATGATTTTTGTACTCGGTACAGAACATTTTGAGAATCTTTCTAATTGGAATAAGTAAGTTAATTCTCTTTGCTAGAAAATCGTTCAAATACGAGAAAAATTCCTATCCGAATTTCATACATCTTTAAACCAGGAAACATCAATTCTTGAGGCGTTATCTTAGGAGAATGACCGGCAATATCTCAGATATTGCATTTTGGCATTAATAACAAGTTAGCAACATTGGTTCAAGATGACAATGTAGCGGTCCGACTTTCTGTCGTACGCGCTCTTCTTCTTTCTTTCCGACGCATTACTCGGAGCTGAAATTGGAAATGAGCCGGAGTTGGCTCACTCTCGATTGAGCCGCCTGCCAGGACGGGCGTGGCAGGACGCAGTAATTGGTCGGCAAGGAAGTTACTCAGATCCAGTCCGATGCTGCCGTCAACCATTCATTCAAAACCAGGTTCTTGTATTTTGCCTACTTCATTCGTCTGCCATGGACGGGTGCGGCTGCAGGCAATCGGAGCTAAAGTGCTAGTCTCAAGACGGTAACGCTTCCGGCACTGTACGTCGCCAGGACTTGGTCGATGATTTGAATATTTCTCTCCTACCGGTTGAACAGCGTAGAAGGAAGCTGCAACTTGTTGGCAACGTTGGACAGGAGCCCCGTTGTAATCTCGGCAAGCAATGCGCTCCTCCGCTAGTTTCCCACACCTTTATTTGGTTTGACTTGTCTATCTTCGCTGAACTGACTTCTTCTCGGCGACAACACCGATGACCTTACGGATGGGCCCAGCCAAATTTAATGTTCTTCATGTGCTTTAATGTTTAACCATCCGTTTACCGCCTGATGGCTACCTAAGATTATTACTGAATGTACTTCTCATGGATTCGCTTGTTCATTTTAATACTTTGTTCATTAAATATATAGTTCATGCTTTGATTTATATAGTTTGTTCATTCTTTCTAACTATCCCGTTGGGGTAGCCCATATGTGTTGCCCCTCTCCCGCAACAACACCGTAATAAAATAATATATAATAATGTGCCTGATGGCATCACTCACAGTATTGGCAGCGGTCCCCATATGTGCCGGGAGCGCACACGCATTCCCCAGATTTTATAGTCAATCAGTAATTCCTAATAAATATCGGGCTAAGTCAACAGTTAAAACTATATAATCAATCAATAATTCTTGATAAATATCGAGTTAAGCCAACAGTTACAACTATATGGTCAATCCATAATTCCTAATATATATCGGGCTAGGTCTTCAGTTAAAACTATATAATCAATCACTAATTACTAATAAATATCGAGCTAGTAAGTCAACGGCTAAAACTGTACCTCTCTATAACGATAAACGGTACCTCTAGTCTATATTCTGAACGATAATTAAACGGAGTAGGAAAGATGAAGTGCTCGGCTTCAGAATAAATTTATTCACTTTCACAAATGCACCAACTTATGAGTAAACTTGTTAAACAGAGAAGAGGTGAGCCACGGCCGATGTATAAAGGAATATGAATTGTGTTTCCTCAGCAAAATGTTGCGATTATTAAAAGATGAGGCCATGCAAACACAGTGGCTGATGAATGCAACTATTAACGGAAGGCATTGTCGACAATCAGAACTACCAGGAAGAACTGAATCAGGTTACAGGTCAACGTAATAAAAGCTAGAGAGCTGTGTGGCGCAGTGGTGAGAGACTCTGTCTCTCGCACCCAGCTCCCGGGTTAGAGTCCCACTGAGGACAAGTTCTTCCGGGAAGCTCAGCTCATGGTCAACTCAGCCTTTCATCCAACTCTGGTTGATAAATGAGTACCTGGCTTGTCCAGGGTGTTGTGTAATGCACTATATTGGTCCTGGCGGGTCAGCGAGCCAGTGATGGTCGTGTAACTACCAGTGGTACCAAGTGCCCGGAAAAACTGACCTATCACCACCCCTCCCTAGTCGCCACTACCAGGATGGCAAAAATAAGCCAAAAAGGGTAATTACACACACACGTAATAAAAGGTTGACAACATGCATAATTATCTATTGAGGCAAGGATATATTCTCGACCAGTGCCGCTATAAGATCAGACCGCAAAGATCGTCCTTGCAGACTTTGATCTCATGGAGAGAGTGATGTTCTTGTGTTGAATTTGATTATGATGGTGACAGTGATAAGTTGGTGATGAATTTAAGTAATGTAAGTGACGAAAGTGATGATAGTGATGGTTAGTGATAGTGCTGGTTAGTGATAGTGCTGGTTAGTGATAGTGCAGGTTAGTGATAGTGATGGCTAGTGATAGTGATGGTTAGTGATAGTGATGGTTAGCGATAGTGATGGTTAGTGATGTTGATGGTTAGTGATAGTGATGGTTATGATAGTGATGGTTAGTGATAGCGATGGTTAGTGTTAATGACGTCTAAAAACTAGCGACGCCTGTAAGCTGATGCTATGCTCGTGTCAACTTTTATTAAAATACGATAATGGGCCTACATAATATATATACAGTACAATAAGGGGCATGTACTGTACACTGGTACAGTTATGGACACTAGTAATATTGTCTACAAGCTAATAGTTTTACCAGAAAGTAAGTTAATACACTTGGCAACAACTTCTACTATTCTTTCGTCTGTTGCCACCAGTGTGTATTTCGATGCCACAAAAAGACTAGTCAAGTGTTAATATCTCTCTGATATTATCATGTTACAAGCTCCCTTAATTTCTTAATTTATCTAATTATTTATGATGATCGCCGTTCAATCATTAGTGGATTCAAAAATTGAATTCCCACGTCAACTATATACTTCGATTTTTGCATCCTATTTTTTAAACTGTTCCGCACCTGCCTGGAAAATTATATTTCGAATTAAACTTATCATGCTACCATAATCATAGTATTATTAGCTCATTTATCTCGCCGCTAATTGTTAATTATTTATCTGTTCTATTGAATAAATTCCAAATATTTTTTTGTCTATCATTCCTTCTGATGACTGTCTTTGAGGTTCTCCCGATAGTGGTAGAGTCGGAGTTGGCGGAATGGGTGTAGATTGGTTGTGGTGGGATGGCTGATGATAGTTCTGTCTAATTCTAAATGATGAAAGCTTCAAGGAAATAATGAAGTCTGTTGTGAACACGGCTAGTATGGCATAGTCCTGTTATGGCAGATACAAGTAACGACAACTGCTTGGAAGCTTATTAACGTTATTCTACTCATTTCAGATAAAAAATGTTAAAAGCTTTTTTAATATTTCCTCACTTCTCACGATGAGTCGCACATAAGACTCGTCGTGACTCTTGGGGCTATTAAACTCATAGATGCCCGCATGTTCATCAGAAAGAGGTCCTAGGGACAAGTTCATTATTTCCGGACCGCTTGGAAGTCGATTCATAATCACTGTCTGAGGTATGCCCTCCCAGGTCAAGTCATCACCCACACTCTTGGTCACCGTCGATGACGGGGGCGTGTAGGTGTCTGCAACATGAGCAAAATCTGATTGACAGGTTTTTTTTTTATTTTTTTTTACACTATTCTTGGATATGAGTAACGAAGTTGTGTACATTTTGTGGGAAACTTAGCAGGGTGTGAATGTAGTAACTATATACGTTAACGATATATATTCTACCGCTGTTAGAGAAGATGGGTTATGGGATGTTAAATTATGAATTAACAAATTGTGCAGTCAAAATTATGAAAGTGTGCAGTACTTAGGTAATTTGTACTGAAAGTTTGAAAGGTTGTATGCTCCTGCATGACAGTGTCAAGTAATAACTTCAATCAACAACTGATTGGAACGCATGGACAGAAGCACAAATATACTTTTCGTGGTGGTTTTTGTCGGTGAACCTGCACTATTCCGGAAAATGAATTTCCGTTCACTAGCCATAGATTTTTTTGGAATGCCTACCTGTGATAATAAATTTAACTGTTTACTCAAGTCATTATTAAAACATTGGCGATCTTTCTCGCTGCCATATTTTCGAATATATGAAGTGAAATCATTTATTCGGATCACGGACTAAACGAACGTTTCGAAAATAATACACTCGTACTTCTCTTCATATTAATAAATGTTTTAATGGTTGCATCGTTAAAAGTTTTGCATTGTAATTGAATTCCTTTTATTTTTATGAATACATTATACACTATCATGCGTTTTTTAATGAAATAAACCTAAAATGCATCATTTAGGTAAGTTAAAGTTTATTACAATAAGCTGAAATTCATGTTTTGTATTCATTGGCGTCCTCTGACTACTGACCGTCCACTCTGCCGAAGATGCCAGTCACGTCGTGCTCAGGCTGGTCGCTGAGACACCTCAGCACTCGAGAGTTAGCATAGGCATTGATTGTTGCGGTCAGGTAGTCAGTGCTTGTCGTGATCTCTGTGATTGGGAGACTTGCTGCAAGGATCTTGTAGTCCCAGCGAGTGAAATACGGAAATGGCAACTGCGTGCCACTCGAGGTCGGAATACAAGCCACGGTTAAGGACGCCGACGCACCAGAGCAGTAGATTCCTCTTCCTAGAACTGCATGACTGATTCCTCTTCCTGCAAATACATGACTGATTCCCCCTATGTAACTGCATGACTGATGGTTGTTGTTATGCACCATGATGACGGAGGTACCTGTTAGCTTTGTTTCTGTTGGAATTTTCAAGCACAAGACAAATTACGAAATTTTTATCATGTAGCTGCACTGAACCTTAGATTATGCTTTTTTTGGCTAGATCTAAGTAGGAAAATTCCACGTAAAAATTAGGTCCTCTATGGCATTTTCTTACGCTAACTCCTATTTTTTATTTTTGGCTTGAAAGAAAATACGAACAAATTTCAAACACAATATTTATTTCACAAGTTTTTATATATTATAAGCTATATATTGTCAACGACATTGAGTCAATTTGGCACTCATGAAATATTATATGTACTTTCAGCTGCAACCTATGGTATTAACCTAGAAAATTTTAATATTGCTATTCGTTTCTCCAATTTCATGAAATGCAAACTGCATTAATTAACATAAATAAGGAAAACTAATAATTAAAATAAGATATTATAAGAAAATGAGATAACAATGCTTATAAAGGATATTATACAAGAAAGGTGGCCTCACCTGTGGTCGTTGGGAAGGATTTTTCACTGAAACTGAACGATTGTTGATTTGGTCTGTAAAAAATGTGACGTTTATTAGGATAAATTTCTACGCGGTGACTAAAAAGTTAAATATTTAACCATTTGTATTGAAGATTCTATTATTGACTTCTTTTCTTACAAGACACTTTTCTGGGTGAAGCTCCATCATTTTACGTGCAACAACAGCAATTGTTAAAAATCTGTTTTTATTGTCTTATTCCGTAGCCTAACCATTGATAAATAGAAGCAAGTATTTACAAGCAATAGCAACATTGTTCTACGGTTTCTTAACATGAAACATAACTCCAATAAACTAACATAAGTATCTTTCAGTGAAAGTATAATATTCAGATATAACCACCTGTAATGAATGGTATCATTTATTTTATCCATGACTGCACGATTAATGTCTTGCAATCATCACTCACTTATATATCTCAAGATGGTCAATATCTTCCAAAATGAGCAGTTTGCCAGAGAAGAAAATGATCTCAATAGTGATGTAATGTCAAAAGTTTCTAAAGCAAACATGATGTCTATAATGATTTTAGACACTACGTAAATAAATTATTAAATACCAGTCTTTACTTTTAACAAATAACAAGTCTGTACTCACGGTACTTCCTTGTATTTCGACACAACGCGATTACGGATTGTGCCCACGAAGCTGTCGGTGGCCGTCGCAGATGTGAAGGCGACCGCCTTGTCCTCCCCGGCCCGCAAGACGCCGGCGTGGAGGGCGGCCAGACACACCGGGGAGCTCTGCCACGTTCAGTGTCCTTGTATTTCGACACAACGCGATTACGGATTGTGCCCACGAAGCTGTCGGTGGCCGTCGCAGATGTGAAGGCGACCGCCTTGTCCTCCCCGGCCCGCAAGACGCCGGCGTGGAGGGCGGCCAGACACACCGGGGAGCTCTGCCACGTTCAGCTCGGTCAGAGCAGCAGTTACAAAGTTGAATGTCTTACCGTGGGTTCTAACATGATCGAAATGGTCTTTTGCAATTGCATGGCATGTCGACTAGGAAATATTTTAGAGAAACGTAATAGTTTTAAGCAATAGAACTATGAATATTGTAAATCCTATGAAAAACCCATTTTTACGCAAAAGCTGTATTAGCAGGCGTGAAACGCAAAATTGCCAGTGGCTTAGCATTCACTTTAATTATTTTGAGATTGCGTTCATGGGTCGATTTTTTCTTGCAAATTCATGAAACCAATAGAGCATTGAAAGGATAAAAATCAAGTTCACTAATGGGATCATTTTTCCGATACCGCACGTCGTCATCCAAAATCCATTCCTCTGCTTGATCAATCAATCGAATTGAAACCTCAATTTTCTATCATAATTTGACATCTGAACATAATTGATATGTTAACTTTCTGTATCCCGTGCCTAAGTGACATTACTTTTACATTATTCATTACTTTTAGGTAAATGTGATAATAAATTTGTCTCCTTTTCTGCCTTGGCAAACGCTTATGTAAAACACCACCCTTAAATTCATATCCCTACTGAACATAATGAAAATGATAATTGGAAAAACGTAATAAATAATTTGAGGATAAAGGTAAAATTTCTAGGCATAGCTTGTAACCACTGACATGAGAAAACAAAATTAATGCCTACATTTTCAAGATTTAGTGAACCTTAGAAATATAGAAACTAGATTTCTGGCGAAAGACCTTAAATGTGATTGGCTAGGAAATGTATTTTCTTCAGGCTGAAAGCATATCATTGCTGCCATGCTGTTAATTTCTCTCACCCCGTCATAAATTAAAGTCCCTGTAACGTCTGATCCCCCGCCGTATGCCTCGGAGTAGGACTGGTTCCGCCATGTCGTGCACGAGCCCGGGCACCTGATGCAAAGTTGGAGAGAATAGTTCGGTCAATATTGTGTTCCGTGAATTCTATTTCTAAAATTACTCTCTTGCTTCCTGAAATACACGAACTTTAAAGGGCAACGTGACTTGGTCGCTATTTAAACAACATCATTGGCAGTTTTGGATATTCTTGTGTGACTAAATATACCGCGTTTTATTTATTGAAGCGCTTCTACTCAGTGTGGTCAACGTATGAAACTTCGTAAAGCTTTTTTCCGCTATTTCATGAGTGGTATATATTATTTTGGTCAACTTCTATTGACATTTGGTACCTCCATTGAATATCATTGAGTTTTTTCTATCGGGTTCTATACCACTCACCTCCTGGCACCAGCGGCCTCTAATTACACGTTATTGCAATAATTAACCATTTATTACTTAGACTCATTCGTTAACATGTTATCATTTTGTCTCGCTCTAATAACTTCTTCTACCAAAGATATTATAACTTCAGTATTCGAATCCTTATTCAAAGGTTCTTACTAATACTATCCATATTAGTAATGACTTCATTCCCCTCACCAATGCCTGGTGCCGGCACTGTTCCCAAACGTTGTCGCGCACGCCTGATCAGCAGCAGGCGACTGCGCCGTTGCGGCCGTGAGGCACAGCAGCGCCAGGCACAGCGCCTTCTCAGGCACCCTCATCCCGTCGCTCTGATGACGTCACGCGTGTAACTTGCGGTCTTCACTGATACTTTTATTGAATAATGGTTATACTAATAGAGACTCGCAACATAAATTAACTTAATTGAGTATTGATTTTAAAATGAAATTTTATGTGTTTTGCGGATAAGCTAAAACAGTATAATAAAACTATTGATTGAAGATAATCGCGCCGCATTATATGATTAGCATTGCAATATGTGAAAAGGATCAATAATTTGCAAGCATTTTGATTTCCAACATTATAAAACAAAACATGAGGGAATATCTTGAAACATATAAGGCCATGAAATAATATATAGCTCAAGATTCAGTAGTAGAAGTTCAAGGAAGTAAAATAAATCAGAAAAAACGAATGGCTTGTTACAGAATTTTGACATTTTTCATGCATGTTATATATATCGAAACAACACCAAACTTAAATTCATGAGAATATATGATTGAAAAATTATTGGTCTTGTTCACGTGTCCAAAGACCAGAATTAATTCATTTACGCCAAATCAACTTTGCTTAAACAAATGATCAACAGATCTCATGGTCAGAAATTATTTCAATTCTTATAAAGAATTTTTTAGTCACACCACATCAAGTCACACCTTTATTTTATTCTTGAGCTCATGAACACGCGATGGGAAAATATATAAATTTAAATGCGAATACAAATGTGCTCCGAATTTTGTGGAATTTTCTTAGCTTTAATTAATTAAGTTTCATGCGAATTTGCTATTTAAGCAATCAAGCGACATTAATACTTGAAAAAGATATAAGTGTAGAATTTAACTTTTCTTTGTTGCACTCGAGTTAAATCCCGAAATGAACGTATTTCTGATGCTTCAAACAGTTGAAACAAATTTAATTACTGATCACTTTCGATTACCCGCACTCGTATCAACGAAGAGGCGTCAGAGTAAGGTCGCCTCTGCCGCCTGCTTGGGACAAGACTGCGGGCAAAGCTAAATTTTATCGCGCGCTGCAACAGCGAGCGTTTCCGCCCGAGCCAAGACCTGATAACCACAAAATTCTCAGAACTTGAGAGAAAATAGAGATAAGTTTAAACAAAAGTTTCGCTGAAAGGACATCAATAATTGCAAATCAGAAACAAAATGGGTTGCTATAAGACAACATCAGACGCGTTTACAAGCGTACTGTACAGGAGAACGCAAATTATTATTTCGTTTACGATCTCTGGAGAAACTGTCGTGCTTGCATCTAGAATCAGTTTTGATAAACAACACCAAGACTGTGAACGGATGCTGCCATCTCTATCTCACTCCGCATGAGCTGCAACGACTGCGAAGTATTGCACTATGATAGAATTAATATAAAATACAGAAAATACAAATGCCACAGAAAAGGATGAACTTTCTTGGATGTGTGTTTTATTTTGAAATTTCAGCTGACTATTTCAGCTCTTAAATGGTTCTGACGAGTCACTGCAGCGAAGTATCAAGTTGCATACAAAGTTTTATATAATGGATTACTTTAGTTGAGTCCCTCGATTGGAACCACTCGATCTAACAAATCTCTATGATCCTTTATATTAAGTCCCGTGATCCTTATTCCGGTCATCGCGAGCCCCATCGTCCCGAATCAAGTAACTATTTGATAGTTTCTTACAGAAAAACTTGGCAATATCCACATTTATCACGTATTGCCTGTTCAAGTTCTGTATCATAAAATGAAACGCGATTTTGTATTTTTTGAACGAAGCTAACACTTATGAAAACAAGATTCGTCTATGGTCAAATCGATCATTTCCTCTTATTTCTTAATGTAAAAGAACCCAACATTATAATCAACATTCTCAAATATTTATTTGACACATTAAGTATCTATCGGTTTCTGAACATTTCCGGTGCAAGGGTTAAGCAATCCGACATAGTACTGAAGAAGCGAGATCTAAGTTTATTTATGAGATTTATCGAAAATCCATGTTCCAAACAATTTCAATTACATTACGAAAAGGCCGAAGAATCAAGTGTACGATAAAACTTCTAGCAAATTTTAATAATGACATGTCCATAAATAAATAAGACATAACATTTATTTTATTGCTATACCGTAAACTATTTCTCCACCTTTTTGGACTCAATTCATATAGTCTCCATATATTGGATCGAAGAATCAATTTTAGTAAAATGCTATTGGGCCAGACAGGCCATTTCCCAAGATCGACCATTCGTGCTTCCGTTATCCACGATCCCAGGTTAATAGGAACGAAATGCATGCTATTAAAGGAAAACCTGTATAAATAGGTTAAATATATTTCGGATGACAGGCTTCAATCACACAAACAAACTTTGACAGATATATGCCAGATTAGTGATTTCACTCCGAAATTTCGAACATTTTGCAGGTCGCTGTGACGAAGGTCAGTTCAGGTGAGGGGAGGACAAACGCTGCGTCTCCGAAGCATGGAGGTGCGACGGTATCAACGATTGCTTGGACTACAGCGATGAGACATTCTGTTAGCATAAAAAATGCGCTTTTTAAGTGACGAGTAACTATTACTTACAAAAAAAACGTATCAACTTAGTAATATTAATTAGGTATCGACTTGATCCGAACGTGCATATATAATAGAAAATTATAGTTAATAAGTTATATATAGTAATAAGAAAAAGTCACATTATTTTGTTATCTCGAAGCTCTCACACAGAACACAAACGGTAGATCTATTTATTATTTCGTTGGTAAATTTAATTGAGAACCGACATGTAATATTGACTGAATCAGAGAATGTGAGTAAACGACATAAAAATCCATCGACAATGATAAACTGAAACTCTAACCGACAGTTTTTATCGGTAATTTTTGTAGGACTGCACTTTTTTGTTAACTGCACCTCGGAGCAGATGAAATGCAACAATGGCGTGTGTGTGGATAATAAGAAGCTGTGTGATGGATTCAACAACTGCGAAGACTTCAGTGACGAGCGAGGCTGTCAGTGTAAAATTGTGAACATCTCGAAATTACTAGGCCTATTAGGTTCGTTTTACCATCGTAAGACGTTAAGTGAATATTGCCAGACGTAATATTCACTTGATCTGAGAGTGATTGATGACTAGTCAACATCTGGAAGATACGTGATAGATCACGCGATCAAGACCTTAGTAGTGGGCGGAAGCCAAAGCCTATATAAGGGCTGCAAACTTTAGGTAAGGCCACCCGCAGTAGTTGATAAGCGCTCCGCGATGTAGCGTGTCGG